TATATATATATATATATATATATATGTCTAATCAAATGATAATTGATTAGTTTATTATGATAACCGTAGAGGGTCCAATATGAGTCAATCATTTTATGATATTAATTGTACTACCTTAATTAATAGGTAAAGGACATTTTAGTAAAATCATTAATTATAATTTAAAATATTTTTCTTATTTAATAGTTATCAAATTCGGTTTCCTTAATTATCTCAACAAAATTGTATCACAGTCGTGTATCACATTGTGGTTGTGTGTGGCCTAAAACTCAGATCACATCTATTATCAGCTCATGTTTAAAACGTTATCACAATGGTATCACACTGTGTAACACAATTGGTTTTGTGTCTTACTGTTATAAATTCTTGGGTATCACAACGTGCATCATATTTATTTTGTGTTTTTATTGTTAGAAATTATTGGTGAGAGAGAGAGAGAGAGGGGGGGGGAGAGAGGAAAGAAAATTTAAAAAGACTAATTTATCCCTATATATTATCAGTAAATTTAAATTATTTGAAAATTAATGAATAATTAACAAAATTAATGAATAATTACAAAAATTAATATGTTTAATAATACCATTGATTATTGATAATGTGGGGTTGAGATTGGATCTCACAGTTATCACAAACAATCGAGTTCTCCCTTGATTAGACCCCTATATATATATATATATATGTATATATATATATATATAGCGTTGGGTTTCGATGAGAAAGAAGTTATGGTAAAAAACATAAAATGAGGTCCTCGTCTTTATATCAATCCTAACTGAATGTCTACACTAATGAGTTGCACCGAGATGCATGGGAAGAGATCTGGACTCTTGGTCACTTTTAGGGGCCGTTTACCAAACACTTACCTGGTAAATGCTTACCGGTAAAATTTAACACTATTATTTACTTACCGGATAAGATTCACACCACCAAAACGACATCGTATGCAACAATTTACACGATAAGTGCTTACCATGGTAAGAGTCGTCGTCATCACTTACTGGGTAAGACTCTTGGTCCTTGTCTCGCTCTTACCGGGTAAGATTCTTGGTCCTTACCATATTCATCCGGTGAGATAATGTTACTTGATAAGCGTTTACCCGGGTAAGCGTTTGGTAAACGGCCCCTTAGTCTCATCCCACCCATGAATTGCAACGGGATTTGATTTAGTGCATATTGGTGCACTGCATTAGTGTTGATCTTCAATTCGGATTCATCCAATGATACAGATCCCTTCTTACCCTTCTCGCCATATCTTCCATTCTTACAAGAACCCAACTCTCTCTCATATAAAGGACGTTTTATTTATACACCATTAAATTCTAACAAACCATGCAAATTATATAATAGGGAGAGAAGAGAGATGGGATGTTCAAATGAGGATGTAAGAAAACTCAAAGAACACTTATTTCATTTGTGAATTTAGAGTCAATCACATGTGATTATATATTAGAGAGCCATATAGACCCCACACCTATCATGTTACTTGATCACATATGATTTTAGTGTACAAGAACACTTATTTTACTTATAAATTTACAGTTAATCGCATGTCATTATATATCAAAAAGCCATGCAACATCCACACTATTCCTTAATCACAAGTGATTTTATTACACAACACTTATGTGAATTTACACTCATTCACATGTGATATTA